TGTACAGCATCTCCTGGTTTACACCCATTTTCAAGACCAGATTTTTGAGTTCTTTCTTACCCCAAGTGCACTCTGCTTTCCTCTGTGGGCTCTTGAGGTCTTAAAATAGGAGCTGCCCAATCTAGGCTTAGACTCTGATGAGCACCACAGAAATATCCATGGTGTCTGTGAGAGGGGACACGTGCTTTCTCCTGATTGCAGAGAAGGAGAAGGGATCTTGAAAAGAGCACAGCAAGGAATGTGAACCCTATTGCCCATAAACTCCTCTTGATAAAACGTGCCTAGTGGGGTGGTTGCAAAGGAAATTTGAAAATATAGGATTGATTTTTAGCTTTCTCTGATGAGGATCAAACACCTAATCTTATCCATTGGGTGACTGGAACAATAGGAAGAAGGCCAGAGGAGAAAGTGCCTTTGTTAGCTTTCTTTTTGTATTATCTAGCCCTGTGTTATCCCTCACCTTTTGTGCTCCTCTGTAACACCAGCTGTTAAAATACATGCCTAGAAATATGCACCAGGGTTCAGGATGTGCCAGTGTTCAGAGGCAGTGCCTGCTGGCATTGTCTAGGCTGTTTTGCTGGTTTAGTTTGCAATTTTGGTTGGATTTGGGATGGAAGGAGGGTTTCCTGGATGAGAACTGGCTCTTCTCTGGATTAGGCAGTGGAGGTACCACCTCAGAACTGGAATAGGGAAGGAGCACCCACTGGGTCTGAGAAAAAAAGCTAGAGTCCTCTGAACTGTTTGGGGTGGTTTTGGAATAATTTTTTCCTCTGAAGGGAGTAGGAGAATTCATGAAGGAACTCATTGAGCCAGGCTCAGGAAGGCAATCACCTCTGCTGCTTCCTCAGACCACCACAGTGTTGTTAGCTACGATCCAAACTTTTCAAAACCACGGTAGGTATTAAGATAAAAAACATCTCTAATAGTGGGGAGTTGCAGATCTTTGGGCAGAATCCAGAGATTATGGGAAAGAAGCTGGAGAGGCACCAGCAGGAGTAGTGATGTGTGAGTGAGAAGTGGCTGCTAATGCCAGGCTTGGGCAGGTTTCAAGGCTTTGCTGTTTCCTTTGAGATCAAGTTCAATTTGGTGAATGATTTCCAGGAAGAGTTTGGGGATGGAGGTCTGGGATATGGCAATTCCCTGGACTTTAGGAAGGAGTAGGAAATGCTCCTCTTTTGTGACCTGCTTTTGCAGTGGGTACTTTGAGACAAAAGCCAATCTGATGGGTTTCCTAGGGCAGTGCTGCTGTGTCTGTCCCTTTATCCCTTGCTCAGAGCGTGCTCTGTCATCCCTAAATCAGGTGAGTACTGAAGGCTTGGTCAGGAACATACCATGATTATTTGGTTATTAGTAGGGAAACAACACAACCTGCTCCAGGGGAAGTGGAAGAAATGAGAAAATATTCTGTCCTGAGAAACCAACCCACCGTTCTTGTAACGATCCCCTCCATAGGGGTTTGAGCTGCCTCATGCCTAACTAAAATAACCACGGATGCTGCCTTCTTTCCCCAAATTGTGGCCATGGTGAATTAGGATAAGGAAAGCAAATGATACATTTAAGTGAGTCACGAAAGTGTGGGCAACTGGGCCCTACAGTAATTTAAAAATAAGTATGGGATGAGATTAGCAAATCTGACAGTGCTCAGCTAAGCAGAAGGATCTGCCAATTGCAAGCAGCCCATTCCCAATAAGACCTTCCAGTGTAGCCGCAGGCTCTTGTTGTGTATGAGGAAAAAACCAGCACGTGGCTACTTTGATTGATTTTTGAACAGGAATAGCAGAAACAAATATAATACAGACTGAGAGGAATAGATATTCCTCTGGTTTTTTTCCCTTCTAGGAGACTGGGCACTGCCAGGGAGGAAAAAACACTTGATTGCAGTATTCCTGGCAGCTGAGCTTCCCGGATGTCATCCAGTTGTATCCTGACATGTTGATTTAAAAAAAAAAAAAATGTTTTTAAAAATATTTTCGGGGCAAAAAGAGTTGGAAAATGCAGTGTAGGGGTGCAAACATCAATGAGCAGGAGCCTGGTGGGGATTCTACCCGGGGTTTACTCTTCTTTGGAGGCTCTGCTTGGCTCTACTCTGCTCCAGATGAGTCATGGACACTGTTACTGCAGCAACGCTGCTGCCAAGGAGGGGGATAAAGCTGTTGCCATGGTGCTGGATGGGCAGGAATTCTGCAGGAGTAAAAACACTTAATAATTAACTTGCAGACAAACGTGGCTTCAGATTTGCCCGCGTGCTCTAGGGAAGGTGTCCCGGGCTCCCAGGCGACTGCCCCCTCTTCTGTACAGCCCCTCGCCTTCCCAGGAAGCAGCCTGTGGCCATGGGCCCAGGGAGGAAAAGCTGGACTGTGGGAAGCTGTGCCTGCTTCCATCAATTTGTATTTTGCATGTGGCTGCCCAGAGCTGGGAAGTTGTGGGACGGGTTAAGAATTTGGGTGGCTGATGTGTCAGAGCCTAAAATCACAGTGTAATTGCAGGACATCTCCCTGAGGAATGCTAAACATCAGGGCTTAAGGCAAGGGCTTGGTTTAAATGTCTGTCATCTTCTTGGCTACTGGTAAAGACAGAAAAGACAATTCTGTGCAGTTTGTGGGCCAAAAACCAGCCTGGTGTTTTCTTGTGGTAGTAGAAAAGTTGAGCTTTTAGCTTGTTTTGCCTGATAGTGTGGGTACTGGTGTTAGTTTTTCCTTGTGCTGTGTTGATAGGGAAGGGAAAATCCCTGCCAAATGCCAGGGATGCTTTGAACACTGTCCTCTCTCTTAAAGCCCATTTATAGAATTGTAGAATCTCAGAGTGGTTTGGGTTGGAAGGGACCTTAAAGGTCATCTCGTTCTACCCCTGTGCCATGGGCAGGGACACCTCCCACTGGACCAGGTTGCTCCAAGCCTCATCCAACCTGGCTTTGAACGCTTTTAGGGCTGGGGCATCCGTAACTTCTCTGGGCATTCTTTTGAGCATTCGCCATATGGGGATGTTGGCGAGCAGTAAAACTGTCCAGAGAGGACATTTAACACCTCTGTTCCTTGTACCGAGCGTACTTGGAGAGTTCCCCAAGTTATGGAGATTTGGAAGGAATAAAAGGCTTCTAGGAAAATGTTCATGCTCAGCAGCCCAGGAGCAGTCGCTCAGAGCAGTCCAGGATTTGTTATACCTGTGCTGAAGTTGGATTGTCATGGGCAGGTCTGAGCTCTGGGCACTTGTATCTTGTTTTTATGTAGTCAGTGACTAAGCCTAAGGTGGATGGATGTATTTGAATTTCAGAAATAGGAAAGCAGACAGAAATAAGTGATTAGCTCAGATTAACAGCAGGAATTAGTAGCTGAGAAAGTGCTAAGAATTAGAATGTTAAAGTGTTATTTTCACCTTGGAACCTCCAAAACCAGTCTCCTACATCAAGCAGATGTGCAGCTGTTTGAAAGCTGACCTGACTTGTCTACATACAGCATTTATTTAGGTTTGTCAGGATAAAGTAAGTTATTGGAGCTATTTTCAATCTGCTGTATGTGCAGTGGAAATGAGGCACCACTGCTCCTTCCCCAGGGAGGAGGCTGATTCCCATGCCAGGAGCTGGCTCAGGGCACAGCAAGGCTGAAGGCTAAATCCATGGGGGTTTAGTAGTGGAATCCTCATCACTGGAAGTGTTCAAAAGCCATGTGGATGTAGCAGTTGGGGACATGGTTTAGTGGTGGACATGGCTGGGTTAATGGTCGGATTTGGTGACCTTAGAGGGCTTTTCCAACCTCAACAACTACGTGATTCTGTAATGATTTTCTCCCAAAGACACTGACTCTGCTGGAAGTGGGGATGGGCTCTGCTCCCTGTTTTCCTAATACAGGGAAAGGCTTCAATGCCATTTTCAGTGCTGAGGAAAACAAGTCCTTATGTGGAATGAGTATCAGTGGAGAGCAGAGGCCACCCTTTGTCTGCAGAGAGGGCTGGAGCAGGGAGGTGGCACAAGGGAGGACACTCCTGTTCCAGTTAAGTGCAGTCGGCTTAGTGCTCCCAAAGCTGCTTAGCACTTGCATTCTGCCACAGGGCAGTTTTTAAAACAGGCAAAGCCTCTTACATTGGAAAGGCTGGGATTTGATGGAGGTGCTGACTAGTCTGAGTACCCTGGGAGTAAATGGGTGCAGAAGTTGCTGGCAGAGGGTTGGGAAAAGGTGATGACCTCTGGGTCTATGGGGGAGAGAGGCCTTTTCCCTGTCCTGTCCGAGTAGGGCATTCAGAAATTAGACTCTTCAGAGACATCAGTTTTGAATTAAAATGGACAGTAGTGGGGATGCATTTGGGCTGCTCTCACTGCTTGTGTGGCCTCCAGAGAACAGATGGAAATTTCTGGTATTTCAGGGCAGCCTTCATTCAAATTTTTTTTCCTCTGCAGATTATTTGTGCACTCCAGAGGAAAATGTTTACAAGATAGACTTCACCAGGTTTAAAATCCGGGACATGGAGTCTGGCACAGTCTTGTTTGAAATCACCAAGCCAGCAGCTTCAGGTGAGTGCACACACAAAATAACATTTTCATGAACAAACACATGCTGGTGTCTGCTTCCTTTTGCCTTTTCCCACTCCTTTTACTCTGTACATTTCCCAAAACCAGGAGATGCTCTTGACTGCAGGAGGGCTGGAGTCCCAGCTTGCAGCAGAAATGTTTTTCAGGTGTCTCTTTGTACCAGCACGGTGAGCAGAGCTCGCTGCTGCTGTGCTCTCACGGTTGCCATCTGTGATGGGAAAGGACAGATGGATGTTGTAAACAGAAGCAGAGGAGGAGGAGCAGGAGATCACCGTGTGGTTGTTTCTTGGCTGTTCATAAGCTTGTGCCCCCCCCCGTAAATAGTTTTGCTGTTAATTTAACATCTTTCACTAAGGATCCAGGAAAATGATATTTCCAAAAGGGAGAAACTTTGTCAATTGAGCAAATTAGACAAACTGAAAATTTCCTTTTTTTTTTTTTTTCCTGAATTTTTAGATGGTGCTTGTAACCATCCAAGTGTTACCTGTTGCCGGTGGCAATAAAAACCCAGGGCAACTGTTTTTTTCCTGATTGTGCTCTCACAACCCTTCCCCACCTTCCTGCAGGTGAGAGGAAGTTTTCTGTAGCTTATGGGTAGCAAACCAGACATGCTAAGGGGAGATGGCTTGTTCAGAGTCACTCTGCAGTCGTGATCTGAGGTAGGAGCAGTGAATCACTTCAGAAGGTGAGCAGTGACTCAAACTAAAGGTCCATCTTCCAGTACTCCATCTCCAAGTGACCAGCAGTGGATGCCTCAGGACAGGAGGAGGGTGAGCTCACCATCAGGCTTCCTCAGGGTGGTTTCCTGGCTTATGTTACTCAATAACGTGATCACGAGTATTTTCGCCGGGTTTCTGTTTCTGAGATGACTCTGACAGGGTTTGCTTTGCCCTTTTCCAGAGCGTGAGCACAATGACAGGAAGGACGTGGACCCCAACGCCGGACGCTTCGTTCGCTATCAGTTCACCCCGGCCTTTCTCAGGCTGCGGCAAGTGGGAGCCACGTGAGTAACTCCTCTCTGCTGCCTGTTCTAGCACAGGAAGCAACTGAAATCCTAGAGAAAATGCCTCTTCCATTTTGATCCTGTCAGGAAGTTGATGTAATAGGGATCTTTTGTTGTGGTGAGGGTCTCCAAGTCTCTTTGCCGGATGCCTCGCTTTCTCCATCCCTGTAGCTTGTTTGTTTACCTCAGGAATGGTGTCGAAGAGATTGATGCTAAAAGGGGCAAAATAAGGTGGGAAGAGTATCCAGAGAAGAGAAGGCCCTGGAGAGACCTTAGAGCACTTTCCCATGCCTAAAGGGGTTCCCAAGAGAGCTGGAGGGGGACTTTGGACAAGGGCCTGGAGTGACAGGACAAGGGGAAATGGCTTCACACTGACAGAGGGCAGGGTTAAATGGGATATTGGGAAGAAATTCTTCCCTGTGAGAGTGATGAGGCCCTGGCACAGGTTGTCCAGAGAAGCTGTGGCTGCCCCATCCCTGGAAGTGTCCAAGGCCAGGTTGGATGGGGATTGGAACAACCTGGTCTAGTGGAAGGTGTCCCTGCCCATGGCAGGGGGGGTTGGAATTATATGGTCTTTAAGGTCCTTTCCCACCCAAACCATTCCGTGATTTTGTATTCCAGCTCTTTTCTGTGCATTATAAGTTTATTTGTCAGATGCTCCTGCCAGCTTCAGAAGATTTGTCTTCAGCTTCCACACTGCACTCCCCAAAAAACATTGATCCACAGATACATGTGAAATGATGAGGTCATGTTTGACCTTTGCCATGTCTGGCAGTGCTGCTTGCATCCTTCAGTAAACCACCACAAAATCTGACACCTAAAGAATTGTCTTGCTTGTCTCTATTTTGAGTAAAAAGAAGAAAAATATAGTATAAACTATGGTTTGTAATGCTGTGTTTGTGTCCCTGTAGAAGGCTTTAATGAAAAGAGGAAATGATAATTTAGTTAGTGACGTGGATTTGTATCTTTAGCTTTTTTTTTTCTTCAGAGCTCTCTTCTACCTTTCGGGAATGGCGCAAATCTTATTTAGGCAAGAAAGCTCACATCAATCTTACCCTTCTTTTTCAGGGTGGAATTCACAGTAGGGGACAAACCCATTAATAATTTCCGTATGATTGAGAGGCACTACTTCCGCGATCAGCTGCTGAAAAGCTTTGATTTTGAATTTGGCTTCTGCATCCCCAGCAGTAAAAACACTTGTGAGCACATCTATGAATTCCCCCAGCTCTCGGAGGATCTCAGTAAGCTCACTTTCATTTCTGGGTTATCACACTGTGATGTTCATCTGAGGTGGTTTGGGGGAGCCCTTTTTTAAAAACTGTCATAAAAAGAGTATGTTGGGTAGAATAATTCATACTTTTAGATCTGTGTTAACACTGATTTTGTTTTTTGGTAGCTTGCATCCCGTCACCCACCAGAGCTGCTTTTTTAGTGTGGTTTTTTAATTCGTAAAAAGGAAGCTTCATATCTGAGAGAAAAAAGATAATTGTGTTATAAAACAACCAAAAAATGGGATTAAAAAGGCATCCGGTAAATGGATGACTTAAATGTTATGTTCTGTTTTAATGTTTGATGTGCTATATTGAGAACTTGAGAGGTTTTAGTATGAACATAACTTTTATTGTCTCTCCTCTCTCCCAAGACACAACAGCACAAGCACTAAATCTGTGTGATCTTATTCTTTACAACCCCTAATTGTGTATGTCAGCACTAATATTACAGTCTGTAGAAAATACAGTGAGACACTTGCTGCCTGCTTATTATCAGACCAGAACAAATTTCTTTTGAGTTCACTGTTAATCATGGTTTTCTTTTAAAAAAAACCCAGCAAAATAAACCCTGGAAACTGTAGCATGATCTTGTTTTGAGATTAGGTGGAGCAGTTACCCTTTTATGGTGCCGTGATGTATTTGGATTACAAACATTTTTCATCCCTGAAAGTATTCTTCAGGGATGAAAGATGGAAAAAAATGTCTGGATGTGGCACTTGGGGACGTGGTTCAATGGTGAACATGGCAGTGCTGGGTTAGTGGTTGGACTTGATGATCTTAGAAGGCTTTTCCAACATAAATGATTCCATGGTTCTATGATTCTGTGATTATGTTTGAGTTGTCTTAAAGATACTGTCAGCAAATAGTTTGGGTTGGTTCCCATTTGGGTTTTTCACCTGAATAATTTGCTGCCGTCTGAGCGACTCCGCAAAACCTGCCTGAAACCCTGTGTTTCCTGAACATATCTGCAGTGTGACTGTTAATTTTGCTTGTTTTGTCCTTTTTTACCCCCTGCAGTTCGAGAGATGATCCTTCATCCCTACGAGACACAGTCGGACAGTTTCTACTTTGTAGACAACAAGCTCGTGATGCACAACAAGGCAGATTATTCATACAGTGGAGGACCTTGAGCGCGGGATGGGCCGCGCTGGCCTCCCCTTTCCTATGGAAGTCGTCAGGGATACCAACACCTTCAGTTCTGCTGCCTGCAGTGTCAACTGGACAAGGATCCACAAAACCAAGGACTCTTTGCCACAGTAGGAGTTTCATGACTAAATTTGCCGGTCTCATCTCTTTTGAGCTTTGAAGCAGACCCAGTTCTTCAGAACTTTAGGCTGAATGATCTTTGGATACCACTTCCCTAAGTTCTTTAAGTGTCTGCTTCGAAAATGGCCTTGTGGGACCTGGGGGATTTTGCCCTAATTCTGTGAATTTGTGTTCTCGCCCTCAAGTATCTTTTAGGACATGATTGCTTTCCCAAAGAATGTAATCAGAGAAACCACGTGAGTGGATGGGTGCAGAGACAGAGGTTTGGTTGGTTGCTTCTCTTTGTCAGTGCTTCAAAGGCCAATTTAACTTGTCCATCCCGTCAAAAATGTCGAGCATAGCATCTCACAAAGGCAAGTTTCATCTTTAGATTGGCTCTCTCCATAAGTATTTCATCCTTTAATTTTGGTCCTTCTGTTTAATGTTCTGTTTAATCCTGGAAATGCCGAAACTCACAATGAAGACCAGTAGTTTAATGACAGAGCCATTTTAATTGGGTACTGTCCTTTCACATTTCAGATGAAGGTAAATTAGCATTGTGGGTCTATGAACCTCCCTAAGTACCTTCCATTCATTTCAGGTTTTGCAGAATAATCAGGAAAAATGGAAGGATTTTAGCTTTATTTAACATTTTCACATAGCTAACATTCAGCCTATTCATGCTACACATTTCCATGTCTGTTTTTTTTTTCATCTCTGCTCAATACCAAGATAAGGGCTTCAGCACTGCTTTTTAGAGCAACACTTTCATTTGTCTATGGCAGCTGGAGTATGTGGAATTTCCAATTTTCTATTTGTATCTGCATTTAAAGAATGTTATGACAGTGCTTTCCCTTTGTTAAAAATGTTTCACATCAATAATTAGTACAGGTGAAACAGTCTAATAATGTACAACTTAAAGGCACGGGAAAAAAATTTAACAAGAGCTCTCTCTTCAGACTCTGGAAGAAGTTTAAGACCAATTTTGCCCAAGAAGTAGCAACACCAAGAATAAACCAGTATGGGGTGGCCTGTTGTCATGAAACCCCTACTCTAAAGGTCAGTTCACTGATACTTTAAAAAAAAAAAAAAAGGCAGTTGAAGTTTGTAGATATTTCTATAAATACTTGATGTCTCCATGTCTAATTCTGTGAGTTGAAGTGGAACATTCTATGTTAGCCTCGGATAGGTGTGATTGTAATAATTTTTATAAAATACCATTTCCAGTTGTGCTGAGCATCTTTTTAGTCGCAGCCTATGTCAGACAGGACTACAAATGGTTCCAAGTGGAGCCATCTGCCCAAGAACAGGGAGGTTTTTGTGCTCTTGCTGGGGTTGTGGTCACTGTTAAATGTGTCACAGGTTGTATTTGGCATGGCTTTCTTGAATTCTGAGAGAGGATTTTCTAAAGAAAACACAGTGAGTTTAGGTTACAGCACAGAGTTTTTATTAAGCTTGGTAGCTACAAAAGTATGTAAAATTCACTGATTTTACACAACTAGTAGTTGTAGTAATTCTTATCACGATGAGACTTGTATTTATCACTATTTTTTGTCTCTACTGTATTAAATCATACAGCTAGCCTATGGCTGACTGATCTGCTTGAGAGATACAGAGAATTTTCTCCTTATTTGTATAATGCTCTGAGCTACTGAACATTGATTTTACAGCACAATAATTACTAAAGGTGAAAATAGTTTCAAAAATTTTGTCATTCCTCCTCCCGCTTTTCTTTTTGCATCAAGGCTGTTAAACTGGCCATATATACAATGACATTTTGCAAGTTTAAGTATTTCTGAATTTTGTTTCAACTCTTGAAGGAGAAAATATGTTGACTTAGAGACAGAAGAGAGTATGTGTGTTTATAATTAGCACCCTGCACAGAGGTTTTTTAGTGATATTTTTCACCTGCTGTTCATAATAGTCACTTCTGTGCATAAGATTTTTAAAAGACTGTTAGGAATGGTACTTGCCCAGAATAACCAGCCATATATTTAATATGAAAATATACATCTCAGTATGTCTTGGTGAGATTAGTTGTGCTTTGGTGTGGACCCTTGGGTCATTGTACAGAGTTTTTTCTCTGTACAGCACATTGTTGCCACCTGCAATAGTCATGTTGAGCTCCTTTTAAGACTTTGGACTTCAAAAACAAAATAATTCCATAAAAATATTACTGTAGTCAATGGAAACTTGAGTGGTAGACATGCCCCTTATAAAAGAACCACGAGAAAATCACCCTGTCCCCAAGAGGGCAGTGTGTTGTTGGATGGACTTTCTGACACTGTATTTTAGGGTAGGTTTGAGGTTAAACACAACAGTATGAATTATCTGCTGCCAATGTCCTGAAATCTGGTAATTCAGATTCCATGGGCAGTAATTCCAGGCTAACAGAAAATTTGGTGTGAATCATATAGGAGATACTTCACTGAGTCAATTTGTCGTCTAGTATTATTAGGAATATTTTAAACCGGAAACAAAGATTGGACATTTTCAATAAAATTAATTTCAACCTATTGTAGCTTTAGGTAAAGCTGGAGGAATTTTACTTGTTTTAAAAGTCCCCAGAGTTTGTCTACAAATAACAAATCCTGATTCTTAAACCATGACAAATAACAAAACTTTCTGTGGGAAGTGTAATGAAGGTGCTTTTTTTCTGTGTTCCACTGGAGCAGTTATCACTGTTATCTCCCTGTTTTACTTGTTAGCATTTCTTTAAGGTCATCTGCATCCACAGTCTTTACAAACTTGTGGGAATCAGATAAGCTGTAAAGTGAAACCCACGTTTTTTTCCCCTTAAATTGGCAGTTGATTCTTACTATAAACCGGTTGAAAAAATTAAATCTTAGCAGCATTGTTCACAGAAGAATTTGTTAATCTCCTGGTCTAGTTAATTATTTGGTATTTTAATATTAATTATTTGGGGTTTACTTTGGAATTTCATTGCGAAATCACCAAGTAATGGCTCTGGAAAAAAAGAATTCTTTTATTTTCTTCCTTGGGCCCATTTTAAACGTTGCTTTAATTAGCACTGCAGCTCTATTTTAACAAGCCAGCCTGGCAATTCAGGATGTGACTTTCCGAAAGTGAAAGAAAACATCTAAGAGCTAACCAAGATTATCTGCTAATAATGCCTGGCTGTTTCCTGTCATAAAATGGGATTATGTGGGTGCTTTACAGAGTGACTTAATCTTGGAAAAAGAAACTAAGTCTCTGTGAGTGCTAATAGTGACATAATTTTTCTGAGAGACAGGGAAATTATAGCTCAACACGTTCCTTCAAGGAAATTATAACTCGACACATTTTTTTTCACTTTGTCAGCCTTGGATCCCTTGAAATGTCAGGTTTTTTTAAGAAAAGCAGCAGTAATACATTGGTGGTGAGCTGCTATGCTGCATGCTCTATTTATTCACACTTCCGTGGCAGGAAGAGAACAATTTATTTTTAAAATTAACACATCAACTGTGGTTTAAATTCTAGAAACTTTTTGTGGCAAAAGCCAAAATTGTTTCTGTGAATTATCCTCTGTGTGGTGACATTTATGAAATAACTGAATGATCCACTCTCCCTGACTCCGAAGAATTTATTTATTTATTTTATTTAATGTAGGAAGTCTCCGTAGGTTTGAAAACAATGTGTTGGGGTTTAGTTCTTGCTCACAATCTCTCTCTGTGTCTTGTTTTTGAGCAGGTCAGTAAGATGCTCTATTTTCCATCTCTGTCCTCTGTTTGAGTTTCACTCCAAAATCCTGTGTAGAGTGTCACAGTGATGGCTGGCTGTGTGTGAAACATGCAGGCTACCAACTTCCAAATACCTTCAGTTTGAGAAAAGACTGTTAAGGTATATTGAGAAATAGTGCTACATATTGACCCATAAAAATAAATTCCAATCTTCATAACAAAAAATTATAGAGAACTCTTAGTCATGCAAAGATGGGGGGCTATTTAAGGTAAGAAAATGCTAATATCCAACGGCTATACTTAATAAGTATTATAAAAATGCTGTATTAATTATTCATAACCTGCAAAAGATGGTTAACAGCTCAATTTTAATTAGATCTGGTTAGGAAGGAAACTATAGAGATGATTGCTATTGTTAATAGAGGTGTGGGGGAGCAAATAGAAATGTGTATGTGTGGCACAACAGCTGATTTATGTGCATTGACTCTTTGTGGGGGGAAAAATGAGGGGAGAGAGGGGACAAGGACAGGAAAAGAATTAATTTCAGCTATTTGCACCCAAGAGATTCAAGGCCATGGTAAGTGTAAATGAGTTTTCTCTTGAGCCTGAGTCAGCTGGGAGCCTCATTTCGTGGTTCTTCTCTATACCCCCAGCATAAGCACTACCTAAATTTATAGAAGTGTTTCAATACTAACATTAAATGTCATTCACAGTTCGTATCATTTTCTATACATGGAAATATTTGAAGTATTTGGAGAGTGTGATGCTCTAGGTCTCAACGCTGCAGCTCAGTTGTTTTCTGTGTCACTGGTCAGTGTGACCCAGCGGGTGAAATGGTGTTTGTGTGTCTGTAGCCTCCCTCCAAGCCCTGTGTTCATGCCTGCTGTGACGTCTGCTTGTATCTTAATACACCCAGCAAACCTGTTTGAATGTGACATTGACCTTTTTTTGGCATAGCAGCAGAGTTGTCTGTATTAAAATGTATTTATAAAAAAATATATCTATTTTTTGTGGAATGAAAGTAGGATTCTAGTTAATACACCACTGGGAAAATGTTAGAAGCATTTTTACCAAGTTAATTTCTAATTCTTTGTACTTGTTAGTTACCTGATTTGTTTGCTAGGAGAACATCCACTGTGGCCCATCCTGTGGCAATGCAATGCACTGTCGTGCAGAGAATCTGGTTTTCAGAAAACTGGGAGTCTTGTTTCCCTTTGGGACAGTAGGGAACTGAGTAGATCACCAGGAATAAAAGGAACCTTGGCACGGAATCCACTTCTGTGGCTTTGGCTTCAGTCCCTAAACTGACTTATTGCAGATAGATGTGTAGAGAGAGCAAAGATTGAGACTTCAGGATAAAAAAAAAAAAAATTAGATGCTACAATTTAGTCTTCCTGTAGGAGAAGGAGAGTCCTAAAATTAATTTATACAAGGATTAAATAGGGACTGCACTTGCTTAAATTGATTTCATATTGGCAGCTTAGTCATCAATGTGCATACTAGGGAATATGCTTAACTTTTTCCATTACCTTGGAAAATGGTTCAAAAACATGTCACATCCGTTAGCAAGTGTTTCTTCTCCTGTAACAAATTGCAAAATGTAAAAAAAAAAAAAAAAAGAAATAAATTATTGATCCTAGAAATGAGGGTGATTGTCTGTTTTGTTTAATTATTTATATTAGCACACGAAAAACATTCAAACTTTCATTTCAGATCCCTTCCATCAATATCTGAAGTCCAGCTTTGTGCAAATGTATGTAACCAGCTTCACTTTTTGGTAGTTGTAAACACAGGAAAACTCTGCAGTGGTTTGGGTTGTTATGTGAGTAAAACCATCACATTAAAAGTGTTTAAATGGGATTCAGCTTTCAGATTGGGAAAATATCTTGGGGTGTAATTAAAAGAAATTAATATTGATTACATTAATGGAACCAGCTGCTCAGGCTGTAATGAGGTGTATTGGGGTAATTCCACCTTGATGGCTTTGATATTTCAGTCAGAAATTCCTGGGAATATCTCTGTATTTCTCTGTGAGCAGAACAATCTACCAACTCTCAGAGGAAAAGAAGTAGAATGTTTCTGTTTGAAAACATCTTCTATAATTAATTTTGATTCCACAGGATTACTGGGGACTCCTTAATAACATAAAATCCCGCAGTGTGTGCTGAAATTTGAGGAAGAAATTTATTAATCCAAAGCTTTACCTTTTGGATTATTACTTGGAGCTGCATGAAACACCTGGACTGAGCTCTGCAATGAGGTGGATACCTGAGCACAGGTTTGTAATGTGACTTTTTCAGCTGAAGATACACTTTGAGTCTGACATCAGTTCTCTTACAAGCTCTCCCAAATCAGAGGCTTTGCCTGTACCTGTTCTCTGTGGTGAGATGTTATCTCCTGCTTAAACTTCCTC